TGTTTGTTCTTTGTCTGGTTATGTTTATTACTAAATATTTCATCCTTTGGGCAGCTATTGTAAATGATATTTCTCTCCTAAAGTCTTTTTCAGTGCTGTCAATATTATTACAGAGGAATCCAACTGATTTTTGTGTATTGATCTTATACCCTGACACTTTGCTGAATCTTCCAATGATGTCTAATAGCTTTTTTACTGAGTCATTGGGGTTTCTATGTATCAGATCATATTGTCTGCAAATACAGAAAATTTTATTTCCTCTTTGCCAATTTGGATGCCTTTAATTTCCCTATATTGCCACATTGTTAAGTGCAGTCTAGTCAATTCTAACCCATAGAGACCCTGTATAAGGTTTCCTAGGAGCAACTGGTGAGCTTGAACCAACGACCTTGCAGTTCAAACAACTTTGCAGTCTGACGCATTAGACCACAGCAGAACACCAAGACTCCTTGCCATATTGCTTTGGCTAATACTTCCAAAACAATATTGAATAGGAGTGGTGGAAAAGGACATCCTTGTTTGGTTCCCATTCACAGAGGGAAGGCTTTCAGTTTCTCTCCATTGAGAGTGATGTAGGCTGTTGATTTTGTATATATACTCTTTATTATGTTTAGGAATTTCCCTTCAATTCCTACTTTGTTGAGTGGTTTTTTTTTTTTGTTGTTGTTTTTTTAATCAGTAATGGATGTTGGATTTTGTCAAATGTGTTTTCTGCATCAATCAATATAATCATGTAGTTCTTTTCCTTTTTCTTATATATGTGGTGGATTACATTGATTGTTTTTCTAATGTTGAACCATCCTTGCATCAGTTTTATGAAACCGACTTGGTCATGTTGTATTTTTTTTTATGTGGTGATGGATTCTATTTGCTAGGATTTTGTTGAAGATTTTTACATCTATGTTCATGAGAGATACTGGTCTGTAGTTTTCTTTCTTAGTGATGTTCTTCTCTGGTTTTGGTATGAGGGTTATGCTTGCTTCATAAAAATATTAGGGAGCTTTCTATCCTCTTCTATCTTCTGGAATAATTTGAGTAGAGTTGGTGACAGCTCTTCCCTGAATGTTTGGTAGAACTCCCTAGTGAAGCCATCTGGGCCTGGAGTTCTTTTGGTTAGGAATTTTTTGATGACCTAATCAATTTCTTCTTTTGTTATGGGTCTGATCAAGTTTTCTACTTCACTCTGTGTAAGTTTTGGTAGGTCATGTTTTTTTAACAATGCATCCATCTCTTCTAAGTATTTGAATTTGTTGGAATACAACTCTTCATAGTATACTTTTATTATCCTTTTGATTTCGTTTGGTACCATTGTGACATCGCCTGTGTTGTTTGTAATGCGAGTTATTTATGTCTTCTTCCTCTTTTCTTTGGTTAGGTTTGCCAAGGGTTTGTCAATCTTATTAATCCTATCAAAGAACCAGCTTTTTGTTCTGTTGATTCTTTCTATAGTTTTTCTGTTTTCCATCTCATTTATTTCTTCTCTTCTTATTTTTATTGGTCAGTTTCTAATTATTGAAGATGCTGTGTTAATATGTTAATTTTGGTTCTTTCTTCTTTTCAGATGTGCACATTTATCGCAATAAATTGTCCTCTCAGCACCGCTTTTGCCATGTCCCAAAGGTTTGGTTATATTGTGTTTTCATTCTCATTTGTTTGTAAGAACTTTATGAATTCACATTCAATTTCTTCTTCTACCCAGTCATTTTTCAGTAGGGTGTTGTTCCATTTCCATATATATGACTTTATTTCCTTAGTCTTCTTGTTGTTTATACCTAGTTGTTTAGTATTGTGGTCTGAAAAGATGCTCTGTAGTATTATTATGTTTGTAAATTTATGGAGGTTTGATTTGTGACCTAACACATGGTCAATTTTGGAGAATGTTCCATGTGCACTGGAGAAGAAAATATATTGTGCTGTTGTTGGGTTGAATGCTCTGTACATGTCTTTGAGGTCAAGTTGGTTGATTGTGTTGTTTAGTTCCTCTGTAACTTTATCGTGTTTCTTTCTGGTTGTTCTGTCCCTTTTCGAAAGTGGCGTATTAAAATCTCCCACTTCAATTGTAGATTAATCTATTTCTTTCTTCAATCCTAGTAAGGTTCGCTTTTTATATCTTGGTTCTTTTTCATTGGGAGCATAGATATTTATTATGGTTATGCCGTCTTGCTCAATTGACCCTGTGATCATGAGATAGTGTCCTTCTTTATCTCTTATGCTGGTTTTTGTCTTAAAGTTTACTTTATCAGAGATTAGAATTTCCACTCCTGTTTGTTTATTGTTGCAGTTAGCTTGGTATAATTTTTTCCATCCTTTAACTTTTAGTCTGTTTTTGTCTTTGTGTTTACAGTGTGTCTCTAGCAGGCAGCATATTAAAGAATCTTATTTTCTTAACCAATGTGCCACTCTGTCTCTTCACTGGTGCATTCAATCCATTGACATTCAATGTAATTATCGATAGATATGAATTAATTTCTGCCATTATATTAATTTTTAGGTAGTGCTGTTTGTTCCTTTGTTTTGCATGCCTTTTTGTGCTGAGTTTGTGTATTTTATGCTAGTTCTTGTTGGTTTCTTCTTAGTTTTCATATTCTGCTTGGAAGTTCATTTTCATGGTAAACTGTGAAGTATTAACTTTCTTTGGGATTACCTTATAGTCTATTAACTTGCCACTCCATTTAAGAGAATCTATTGTATCCTGTAATCTAACTGACATCCTCACCACCTGGATCTTTGTTCCTACATTTATCCCTTCTTTGACATTGATATTATTTTGATCTTCAGTTGACCTCCCAGCTCCTTTGAATTCTTTGTTTTAATTTTGTTCTGTTCTGAACTCTGCTATCTGTCGACTGAGTTCCAGGTGGTGTTGCCATGCTTGTCAATCTCTGTTTGTTTTCTGTTCTTGTTGATTTTCAGTCCAAAGAACTCCCTTTAGGATGTTTTGAAATGCTGTATTTTTTTTGGTAGAATCTCTTAGATTCTTTTTATCCTGGGATGTTTTGATTGCACCATTGTATTTGATTGATAGTTTTGCTGGATAGATGATTCTTGGTTGGCAGTTTGTTTGTTTGTTTGTTTGTTTTTCTTGGAGGGCTTTGTATACATGTTCCCCTTGCCTTCTTACTTGAATGGTTTTTGCTGAGAAGTCAGAGAGCTTAATCTGATTTGCTTGCCTTTGTAAGTGACACTTCTCTTCTTTCTGGCTGCTTTTAGTATCCTCTCCTTGTCTTTGATTTTGGAGAGCTTGATTAATATACACCTTGGTGACTTTCGTTTGTGGTCTATCCTTCTGTGGGTACATTCAGTTTCTTGAATGTTTATCTTCTCCTCTTTCAAGTGTTAGGGAAATTTTCTGCCAGAAGCTCTTCAACTATCTCCTCTGTGGACTTCTCTGATTCTTCCTGTTCCATAATGTCAATAATTCTTAAGTTGTTCCTCTTCATGTTATTCAGCATGAATCTTAGAGTCTCCTCAGATTTTTTTTTTATCCTTGTTTCTGCTTGCTCTTCTATCTTGGCAGTATTGAGAGCTTTGTCTTCTAGCTTGCTAGTTCTGGCTTCCATCTCTTCAATTCTGCTCCTTTCCCCTTTCAGTGTATTGTCCATTTCTGATATTTTATTATGAATCATCTGGACCTCTTTTTGCAGGTTTTTAATTTTTTCCAATGCTGTTATTGATCTTGTTTGATTGCTCTTGTAGTAGTTTCCTGGCCTTTTTCTTCCACCCCGTTTCAGAGCATTTTAGTTTGTTTCCATATCATTCTTCTGAATTCCTTCTCAGGCAAATCCAAAACCTGCTATTCTATTCCTCTTCTGGAGAGCCTTTGTCTGTCTCCAGCTCATTTGTCTCAGTTACTCTTTTCTGGTTTTGGACATGTTTTGATATCTTTTGTTGTGTTTTCTTGGTCATTTCCAGTAGTTATGTAGGATTTTAATGCTTAAATGGATGGTTGTTGCTATGTTATTAAGTTCATTGGGTGTCTCCTGGTGGAAATGATCAGGAGATATGCTTCCATTTTCGCATGTAATGTTTAGCAGCTATTATAGGCTCTTGTCTAAGTGGTGGAATATTATGGGTTATGCTTGTAGCTGCTATATGGCCATGATTGATGTTTCTTCTTTGGTAATGTAGGGAGAAAAAGCTCCCATCTCTAAGAAAAATGTGTGATCAAAAGGAACAAAATCAGAAGCAATATAAAAGCAGAGACAAAAGCCACTATTTAAGTGCATTAAGGATGAATACTACTGGTGATTTAAGACGTACATCAAGAATGTTCCCTAGAAGCCAAGATTACAAGATTTCATTTATAATACTTTGGGAATGTTATGATAATGACCTGTCACTTGGATAAGTATATCATACTAGGAAAAGTGGAAGAATAGTGAAGAAGAAGTAAATCTCAATGAGATGAACTGACACAGTGGCAACAGTAATGAGCTCAAATATAATAGCAAATTTGAGGATGGCACAGTATCTGGCAGTGTTTGCTCTTGTTGTCTACAAGATCACGATGAGCTGGAATTGCCTCTATGACACCTAACAATAACAGCAATAGAGCTGTTGTGGTACTTTAAGATAAGAACTGGACTGCTAATCCCAAGTTTAATGGTTGAAATCCACCAGCTGCTTCTCACAAATCCTATACAGGGTCACCATGATTCAGAACCAACCTGATAGCACTATACAACAGCAACAATAGAGCACTACCATGTGAACTGTCATTCCAGGGAGAAATGTTGTTGTTCCTGTTAAATGCCGTTGAATTGGTTCAGACTCATATTTGTCCTGTGTAGGGCTTCTGAACAGCAGCTGGTGAAGTTGAAGGTTGAGAACAAAAAACACAGACACATGGAATGAATGAAAATGCTGTCTTTGAAGAAGGCAACACCATTGTGACTTGAGTAGTTCAGCTCCTTTTATTCTAAGTGGCATTGTACAAGATAATTGTACTTGTAACAAATTAATAGTGGGCTAAAAATGGCCTTCAAGATTATCCATACACTTTATACCCTTTCTGACCCCAAAGCATTTCCCATTATCAGTGTCCTCAAGGCGCCTTTTACATCTTTGTTTCTCAGAGTATAGATAATGGGGTTTAAGAGAGGGGTAACTATGGTATAGAAAAGGGAGACAAACTTTCCCCGGTTTTTGGAGTTACTTTTAGCTGGCTGGAGATACATGAAGATGATTGTACCATAGAAAATGATGACCACAACCAAGTGGGAGGAACATGTCCCAAAGGCTTTTCTGCGTCCCACAGCTGATTTGATCCTTAGCACAGCTTGGGTTATAAAGCCATATGATACTAAAATGAATGACACAGGGACAATTAGAAAGACAACACTAGCCACAAAAAGCTCTGCCTCATTAAAAGTGGTGTCCACACAGGCTAGCTTGATCAGTACTGGCACCTCACAGAAAATGTGGTCCAGTTGGCGGTGACCACACAGGGGAAGCTGAACAGTCAGGGAGCACTGAATTAAGGAGGTGACAAGGCCACTGAGCCATGCTATTCCAGCCAGGGATGCACAGAGCTGTGGATGCATAATGGTTGTGTAATGTAAAGGTCGGCAGACAGCAGCATAGCGGTCATAAGCCATGACTGCCAGAAGAATGCATTCCGAAGAACCCAAGCCCATGGCTACATAAAGCTGGGCCACACAACCACCATAACTCATGGATTTGTCTTTCTTGCTCATTGTAACCAACAACTGTGGGGCAACACTGGTAGTGAAGCAGATGTCTACACAAGAGAGGTTGCTGAGGAAAAAGTACATTGGAGTATGAAGTTTGGTATCGAGGTAGGACACTAATATGATGGCAGTGTTTCCCAGAAGATTCAAGATGTAAAAGAACAAAATAATGAAAAAGAGAATCCTTTCAAGTTGGGGTTGATCTGAAAATCCTAGGAGAAGAAATCCTTTTTCAGAGCTGTTGTTGCTTTCATCCATTATTGTGTAGACTTTAATTCATAAGATTATTAACATTCTGTGGCATGAAGGCAGTGAGGCCAACATTGTTAAGCCCTGATAGTTTCCAATTGAAAATACTTATTGTACTCTTATTAACATTTATCTTTAGTAGAGGATGCCTTTCCTTTTTCTTTTCCTTGAATAAGATCTCTGTATTCCAAATAGGAACAACTCAAATGTTAAACAAATAAACAAACACATTAAATAAAACACAAGATCTTCTTGAATTGATGTAACTGAGATATGTCCCTCATTCTTTAGAAGATGTGTCTATAGATTTATCAATAGTTATTTATGAAACTCTGTTCCATAAATTTTGATGTGATTTCTTGTTGTTGTGTTACTGTTGTTAAGTGCTGTTGAGTTGGTTCTGCTTCATAGACACTCTGTATGAACTGCTGAGTTTGATATTCCTAGAAGAATATAAGATCAAAACTGTTTAAATTACATAGTTGTAACAAGGCTTAAAGGAGCTTTAAGCTTTAAGAAAAAAAAAAAAAGAAAAACAAGACAAAACAGTTTGAATCAGTGGAGAGAAGTGTGGTTTGAATGTTAGTACATCAGATGCACGGAGAGGAGGTTAGAGTGATGTGGAAAACAAATGTACCAATGAATCGATATTCTTACTGAGACATGAATAGGAGATTGAATGAGAACAAATTAACATCAGCCTGAGACCCACTCACTGTTTTGCACACTATATTGAAATTCAGAGTTTCCAGCTTTGGTGTGACTGTTAGCATTTTAACTAAATGCTGCAAGAGCTACAACTTATAGCAGGATGGTAAGCAGTCTCTCATTCATGTTCCACCTCCTTCCTTCGTTAACATTTTTTCCCATTTTTTTTTTTCAAGGTTTCTGTTTCCCAATTAGTGAAATTTAGTTTACAAGTATTGGATAGTAACAGGAATAATTTCTCTCCTTTATAGCTGTTTCCACTTGAAATAAAAGCATCATATTTTGTCCTTTTAAGATTAATTGCTTCTTCATTTTTAAAGTACAAAATTTTAAAAAAGTTTTAATGCTCTTTTTAGTCACCTATCCTATAATCCCGTACCATGACTCCAATTAAAGGTTAGGTTTAATTGGAGTCCTAATGTGGCACTGTAGGCACTTAACAAAAACAACCTTTAATTATTTGTTTGCAAATTTACTTTGAACAAATACAATTTTAGTATAAAATATTTGAAAAATAGTACAAAATAGGAAATTGACATTAACTTATATATCAGTCTTAATGAAACCACTATTAACTGGTTAGTATACTAGGAGAGGCTGCTTAATCATATTAAAAGAGCTTCATTTCATTCCCACCTTAACAATTTCATATCAACATTCCAACTGACTAGTCATATAGCTAATATGAGCTAGTATTTATTGTTTGAAAAGGGCATAATGTTCTTAATTTGTTTTCAACAAATCATACAGTAATAATTTCTAAAAACAAATATTATTTTCTATTTTCATGTTGCCAATACCTTGCTGTTTATTGGAGTCCTAGAGTGGCACCATAGGAAAAGCGCTCAACCTCAAGATTGGTTTGAACCTCAAGACAGGGGTTCAAACTCACCAGCCAATCCTCAGAAACCCTATAAAGGGTTGCTATGAATAGGAATCAACTTGATGGCACTTAACAACAGCAATAATATCTTGTTACAGGAGCCTTTCTATTCCCATAAATATCCACTTACTGCCTTGGATATGCTATACAGCATTGGTATGATTCTGAACTGACTCGACGGCACACCACCACCAGCACACCATCACCGATCTATTGCTTTATCCACCAAATTGTTTTTTACTGGATTTATATCAAACAATTTTTAAAACATATTTTAAGTAAGCATTTTCAAAGAATGCAGACACTTCCACTATTTGGCAAATATATGCCGTTATTAGTTCATTCGAATTGGTTCTGATACATACAGACATAGAAAGATAAATGGATAGATAGATAAATAGGTAGATATGTCATTGTTACTAAGTGTCTTGGAGTTGTTACTGACTCATATTACAACAGAAGAAAACACTACACAGTCCTGGGCCAACCTCACAATCTGTGCTAGATTGAGCCCATTTTTGATAGTACTGTGCCAATCCATCGATTTGCAGGTCTTCTTTTTCCTGAACCTCCACTTTTACAAGCATGATCTCTGCTGATACTGTGTCTAAAGTATGAGAGACAAAGTCTGGCCATCCTGGTTTCCAAGGAACACTCTGGCTGTCCTTCTAAGACAGATTTTTGTGTGCTTTTGGCAGTCAATGGCACTTTTAATATTCTTCTCCAACACCATAACTCAAATGCATTGATTCTTCTATTGTCTTCCTTATTCTTAGTCCAACTTTCCCATGCATATGACGGTATTGAAAATATCATGGCTTGGGTCAGGCCCCCCCATAGTCCTTAAGTTGTTATCTCTGCTCTTGAAAACTTTACGGAGGTTTTGTGTAGCAGATTTGCCTAATACAATATATCATTTAATGTCTTGACTGCTCTTTCCATAAGTGTTGATGACTGATCTGAGAAAAATGAAGTTTTGACAAATTCAAAATTTTCTCCAGTTATTTTGATTTATATCCTCATCTGAATCTAGCTTGAACCTCCAGAAGTTCCTTATCAATGTACAGTTGCAGCCTTTTTTGAATTATCTTTAGCAAAAAGTGATTTGTATGTGATATTAATGGTATTGTCAATGATTTCTGCATTCATTTGGTTCACTTCTCTTTTGACTATAGGCACAAATATGGATCTTTTCTTGTTAGTTGGTCACATTGATATCTTTCAAATTTCTTGGCATAGATAAGTGAAGGTCTGCAGTTTACTGAAAGATTTGAATTTGTATTACATCAATTCCTAGACACTTGGTCTTCACCATTGCTCTCAGTGCACCTTGGACAACTTCCTTCAATATTATTGGCTCTTGATCATATGCTACCTTTTGAAATGGTTG